AACGCAGAGCTACATCCCCAGCTTTATTTATTTATGTTTTTTTTGGGGGGGGTACCCGGGATTGAAATAAGGGGCACTCAACCACTGAGCCACATCCCCAGTCCTATTTTGTATTTTATTTAGAAACAGGGTCTCACTGAGTTGCTCAGGGCCTCACTAAATTGCTAAGACTGGCTTTGAACTGTCATCTTCCTGCTTAGGCCTCCCTAGCCACTGGGATTTACAGGCGTGTGCCACCATGCATGGCTCTATTTTTTATTTTGAGACAGAATTTCTCTAAAGTGCTGAGGCTGCCCCAGTCTCCAGAGTTACTGGGATTACAGGCATGTGCCACCAGGCCCGGCTGGATAGATGTATTTCGAATATCTTCTCCTACTCAGTGGCTTGACTGCTCTCATTCTCTTAAAATGTCTTTTGATGTATGATGTATAAAAACTATGTGGTGTGTGTGTGTGTGTGTGTGTGTGTGTGTGTGTATGTGTGAGAGAGAGAGAGAGAGAGAGAGAGAGCGAGAGAGAGAGAGAGAGAGAGAGAGAGAGAGAAACATAGGAGATTGAACCCAGGATCTCACACATGCTAGGCAAGAGTTCTACCACTGAGCTACATCCCCAGTCCACAAAAGCTCTTAGTTTTATTTTATTTATATATATATTTATTTATTTACTATTTTTCTGCAGTGTTAAGGATTGCACCCACGGGTACTCTACTGATGAGCTATGTTCCCCCTCCATTTTATTCTTTTCTTTTTTTTTTTTTTTTTTTTTTTGGTGCTGGGGAATGAACCAGAGATGCTTACCAGTCAGTCATAGCTCCAGCCTTTTTTTAATTTTTTATTTTGAGACAAGGTTTGGCTAAATTGCTAAGGCTGGCCTCAATCCCTCCTGCCTCAGCCTCCTGGACCACTGGGATTTCAGGTATGTGCCACAATACCTGGCTAAAACCTCTTAACTTTAATATAAAGTTGAATTCACTGACCTTTTTTTTTTTTTTTAATGTGGTACCAGAGATTGAACCCAGGGACAGTGAACCACTGAGCTACATCCCCAACCCTTTTTAATTTTTTTTTTTTTTTAATTTAGAGACAGGGTCTACCTAAGTTGCTTAAGTCTTCATTAAGTTGCTGAGGATGGCTTTGAACTCAAGATCCTCCTACCTCAGTTTACCAAGTTGCTGGGATTACTGGCATCCACCACCGTGCCAGGCTACAGTTATTTTTTTCTTAATATCCATAGGCATTTTTATCTGCCATTAAATATTCTACAAGATGCCTGTCTGTATTTTTATTTTCAAATTGTCAATTTTAAAATTATAGTTACATGTATTTATGGGATCCAGAGTGATGTTATGATTTATGAATACAAAGTCAAATACTTAATCAAACTAATTAACATATCCATCATCTCTAATACTTAGTTGTTGTTGTTGTTTGTAGTGAAAACTTACTCTGTAAGCAATTTTGAAACTTATTATTTACTGTGTTCCCCATGATGTGCAAATCTATCTCAAAGGAAAGAAAGCTTCCTCCTATTAATTGAGGCTTTATTCCTTTGACTATCTTATTCTCATCATCCTTCCAAGATGTCTTTTTTTTTAAAAAGCTGCCTAATAGCACATCCTATGTATTGCCTCTCCCTGGAGCAGGGCCTCTGGAATCAAGCAAACCTGGATAATATCTTATCTCCCGCCCCTCTTCTTTTGGTACTAGGGATTGAACCCAGGGACACTTAATCAATGAACCACATCCCCAACCATTTTTATTTTTTACTTTGAGACAGGGTCTCACTAAGTTACTTAGGACCCTGATACATTGCTAGGGCTGACTTTGAACTTATGATCCTCCTACTGCGCCTAACCTGTCTTCCCCTCTTAACAAGCTACGTAACTTTGGCAAGTAATTTAAACTCTCCAGATTTTAGCTTTCATGGGAGGTGGCCAGGTTTTGAACTGACTTTATTTTACATAGCTGGCTCTCAATTCCTAATTAATAACTGATTGGTTTATAAGTGCTGCATCAACTGAAACAGTGAGTCATGAACTCTAGAACACTCTGGAACACTCTTAGTAATTTGTTAAGATGTCCTAAAGACCTAGGAAAGGGAGATCACATTTTATGACTTCTCAGTTTTATTGTATGTGACTAAGAACAATAAACCATCTCTAACAATGCCCTATGTGGGCAGAGGGTATAGCTCAGTGATACAGCACTTTCCTAACATGTGGAAGGCCCTGGGTACAATCCCTAGTATTGCAAAAAATAAAAAATAAAAAAAGTCAAACCAAGCCCTGTGATCATTGAAAGCTCATGGGGTGTAAGGGTTGGCTGCATAAAGGATCTGCAACCACTTAATTCTCTGATCAAATAATCAGATTCTTCTTCTGAGGCTGTCCTTGAACTTAGGATCTTTGTACCTCAGCCTGCCAAACCACCAGGATTACAAGCATGCACCACTGTGTCCAGTTTCAGATTATGCTTTTTTATTTTTCATATTTTTTATTTATCAATGGACCTTTATTTATTTATACTCGGTGCTGAGAATAGAACCTAGTCCCTCACACATGCTAGGCAAGCGCTCTATACTGAACCACAACCCCAGCTCCACTTTCAGATTATTCTTTATCAGAGATTTTTAACCTTGTCCCAGCTGGTTGTCTTGAAGGAAAGTGGATAAATTTCTCTGTGGGGCTTACTCTATGATCTGTAAAATGGGTAGAGTAGAGTAATAGTCCAGTGCCAGCCTCATGATAATGTGAGGATTTAATAAGAACTTCACTGAGAAAGGACTTGACAAGTGATAAGTGATCCATAATGGCCACCATTGTTCTCACCTCTGGTATGGGGAAGGGCCAGTGGGATCTGGACATTTGAGGCAGCTCATGTGGACACTGGAGTGGGGACTAGGGAATACTGAAACTCATGAGGAATGGCTAAAGACATTGTCCAATGAGGTGCTAATGAACATTTCAGGACCAGCTTTGGTGGGGTTGTGTGTGTGTGTGTGTGTGTGCGCACGTGCATGCACACACGCATTGCTTTGTAGTGTTTGTTGATTTCTATGGCATAAATACTTCTACCCTGGCCAACTTCAAACTACTAACATCTGCTCCGGTGTGGTGGCGTGTTCCTGTAATCCCAGTGGTTTGGGAGACTAAGACAGGAGAACTGAGAGTTCAAAGCCAGCCTCAGCAACTGCAAGACACTAAGAAACTCAGTGAGATGTGGCTCATTGAGATGTGAGATGTGGGGATGTGACTCAGTGGTAGAGTACCCCTGAGTTCAATCCCTGATCCCCGGTACCAAAAAAAAAAAAAAAAAAAAAACCCAACATCACTGAACACAGAATAGTATAGTACTTCCACCACATGCATAAGGAAGATACAAATATCCTCAGGTGAATGGATACTATAAAATGTCAGAAAATAATTATTGAACATAGGAGATGCTTTACCTTTGAGCCACATCCCTAGCCCTTTTTATGTTTTATTTTGAGTCAGGGTCTCTGTAGGCTTCTTAGGGTCTTGCTAAATAGCCCAGGCTGGCCTCGAATTTGTAATACTCCTGCCTCAGCCTCCCAAATCACTGGAATTACAGGCGTGCACCACTGTGCCCAATACACCTATAATTTAATTTTGGGGGTGGGGGATTGGGGATTGAACTCAGGGGCACTCAAACACTGAGCCACATCTCCAGCCCTATTTTTTTTTTTTTTTTTGTATTTTATTTGGAGACAAGGTCTCACTGAGTTGCTTAGTGCCTTGCAGTTGCTGAGGCTGGCTTTGGACTCCAAATCTTCCTGCCTCAGCCTCCTGAGCCGCTGGGATTACAGGTGTGTGTCACCACGCCTGGCTTAAATTTTATTATTTTTATTTAATTAATTAATTTATTTATTTATGGTCCTGGGATTGAACCCAGGACCTCGTGCATGGGAGGCAAGCACTCTACCAACTGAGCTATATCCCAAGCCCTGGCTTAATTTTTATAACAACTGTTGTTTTAGTCCAGTTTTTGTTGCTATAACAAAATTCATGAGGCCTGATAATTTATAAAGAGAGAAGGTTTAGCCAGATGCAGTAGCACATGCCTATAATCCCAGGAATTTAGGAGGAGGAGACAGGAGGATCTCAAATTCAAAGACAGCCTGGGCAATTAGGCAAAACCCTATCAGAATTAAAAAGGACTGGGATTGTAGCTCAGTGGTAGAGTACCCTTGAATTCAATTCCCAGTATGGGGGGGGGGGGAAGAAGAAGAAGAAGAAGAAGTTTCATTCTGTTAATGGTTCTGGAAGTTGAGAGAGATCTAAGGTCAAGGGGCCAGGCCTAGTAAGGGCCTTCTACCTGGTGGGGACTCTGTGGATCACAAGGCACCACATAGTGAGAAGGGAGTATCCAACAGAGCCAAAGTGGCTTTGTTTCATTTTTTGCAGTACTGGGCTTTGAAGCCAGTACTTGCTAGGTAAGTCAGTGTTCCATCACTGAGCTACAGTTCCAACCCTTTTAATTTTCAGACAGGATCTCACTAAATTACTAAGGCTGGCCTCGAACTTGTGATCTGCCTGCTTCAGCCTCCTGAGTCACTGGGATTACAGGTGTTTATCACCATGCCTGGCCCAGTCACCTCTGAAAGGTCCATGTGGTCTCATCGCTTAATACCTTCCAGTTGGAATTAAATGTCAACTTGAATTTTGATTGGGTACATTTGAACCACAGCAGCTGTGTTTAATAATTGCCTTTAGAAATTCTTGAAAATGTAGCCGGGCATGGTGGCACACACCTGTAATCCCAGCAGCTCAGGAGGCTGAGGCAGGAGGATGGAGAGTTCAAAGCCAGACTCAGCAATTTAGGCCTTAAGCAACTTAGTGAAACCCTGTCTTAAAATAAAACATAAAAAGGGTTGGGGATGTGGCTCGGTGGTTGAGTGCCCCTGGGTTCAATCCCCCATACCATCTACCCCCTGCCCCCCCCAAAAAAAAATCCTAAAAACTTAATAATTGACTCTCATGAACTGGACAAGCTGGCTCCAGCCACCGCAGATACTTTTAGGGCCTGTAATCATAGACAAACAGCAGCTGTGTGTAGTTCAGGACCTGGCAACTGGACAAGTGTGAAGGGCAAGCTCAACGTATTTCTTAAGGACGAGGCTTTTTCCTCCAGTGATTGTGTCTGTCTCCCCCCCACACACACACACACACAAATACCTGGTACAAAAGGTGGACTTCTCCCCTGGCTTCAAGCTGTTTAACATTCTAATCCACCAGCACCCCCACCCCCTCCACTGCAGGACAGACTATCTCAGGAATGCCAGGGACAGGCATGCATGGAGGGCACTGTGGCCAACCACGTGTTTGCTGAACTCACCCTGTCAGGTGTTTGCAAGGTCATCCACATGGGCAGAAGGAGGGCAGCCTCCTGGGAACCGGCTGCCTACTCCTGCCCTCCGCCCTGAGACCTCTGAGTTCTGGGTTAGCAGATAAACTCCACCAGCCCACTGCCCCAAGCGTTTCAAGTCCCAGGAACAAATGACCATTTCCTGGTTTATTTTGCTTCTCTCCACGGCCTCCCTGAAAATAAGAAGAGCCAGTAATAATGCTGAGAACTGGCTGCTTGCTCTAGAAACGTCCCACTTAATCCTCATAACAACCCTATGAAGTAGGAACTATTCTTATCACAGTTCTGTGGATGAGAGATCCAGGACTTAGGTAGGGTGCTAACTTGCCCATAGTCACATGAAGGACCCAGGACTTGACTTCTGTGGAACCCAAACACATCATTATCGGGGTTTTTTCTTCTTCTTCTCTCAACCATCTTCCATCATGTGGTCTCCTCAGCTTGCAATTATTTGGCGTTCTTTGGCATGCTGCCCGCCACTCAACAGTCTCTGCATAGGGACAGTGGTAGAAGCTGTGGGTCTGAGAAGCTTGCTCAAAGAGCGAGTGTGTATGAAGAGGAATCATTGCTGGGGGTCCTGCACACACCCGCACCAAAGGAACCTCAAGAAGAAGAGAAGGATGACTGAGATGGAAGCTACAGAGTAGATTCCTTGTCCATGGATGTGCAATCAAGAGACGATGGATGGCCAGACACTGTGTCTCACGTCTGTGATCCTAGTTACTCGGGAGGCTGAGGTGGGTGGATCCCAAGTTCCAGCCCTGCCTGGACAACTTAGTGAGACCCTGTCTCAAAACAAAAAATAAAAAGGGTCAGGGGCAAGTGCGGTGGTACTTGCCTGTAATCCCAGTGGAGGCTGAAGCAGGAGGATCAAGAGTTCAAAGCCAGCCTCAGCAAAAGTGAGGCACTAAGCAACTCAGTGAGACCCTGTCTCTAAATAAAATACAAAATAGGGCTGGGGATGTGGCTCACTGGTCAAGTACCCCTGAGTTCAATCCCTAGTACTTCCCCACCGCCAAAATAGAAGGGCCAGGGATGTGGCTTAGTGCTAGAGCACCTCTGGCTTCAGTCCCCAATACTAATAATAATAATAATAATAATAATAATAATAATTGCTGACCTTTGCCAGTTCATGGAGGCTGGAGCAGGAGGTTGAAGTCAGGAGCCCAACCACATTGGGGATGGCCAGGGTAGACATCTCTTCTAGGAAAGAGAAGATGGGAAATACTAGAGACATAGGGACCTTTGCGGATTCGAGTCTCAGTTTTGTTTTGTCTTAAACTGTCCTTAACAAATTAGTATGCTGTGGAAAGGAGCTGGCGGAGGGTGGCTGAGCATGCCAATGAAAGAACCGTGATGGGGCTGGCTCCGCAGCCCGGTGACTTGGGAAGCTGAATCAGGAGGATCACAAGTTCGAGGACAGCCTCAGCAATTCAGCAAGACCCCAAAATTTTAAAAGGGGGAGGATGGGGGATGTGGTTTAGTGACAAAGCCCCCCTGGGTTTGATCCCTAGAGAGAGGAAGGAAGGGAGGGAAGGAGAGAGAAAGAACAGTGATGGTAAGAGGTGGCTGGTGTCATGGGTGACAAGGGATCCCAGCTTCACACCTGAGAACTCACCCCTCCCCACCTGGAGAGGTGGGAGCTGAGAAGCTTCTGGTCTGATGGCCTCTGTTTTCTCAACTAGGAGGCCACAAGTGAGGGGGGGACTGACTGGGGTGACGGAGGTGTGGGACAGCCAGTTGCAGTAGACAGAGGGCGCCACAGAAGCAACTGAAGTAGGAAGCATTGCAGGTGCGGTGGGACAGTGCCCGCAGCTGTCATGGCCCCAGCAGCTGCTTCCTTCCACTTGTGGGTGGATGCTGGTTTCATGTCATCTGTGGGCCCGGTTACCCCTTCCTTACTTGCTGCTTCTGCCACCAGGGGGCGACACTCTCCCTCTGGGTTCTGGAGGCAGCTCCCCATGCCCCGCCAACAGGAAGCACACAAGGGCATCCTGGATTTCTTTCTTCCCTTGCTTGTGCACGGCCTTCCTCATGCTCTCCTTCCTAACACATGACACGCAGAACGACTCACCTGCAGAATGAGGAAGTCAGGCTGTTGTTGTGCTCAGAGCACAGCAGAACTTGCAGTAAGTTTTCCATGTCATGGGATGCACCCCAAGATCTCTTGAAGCTTTGGAGCTGGGGTCATGGCTCAGTGGTACAGCACTTGCCTAGCATGTGTGAGGCACTGGGTTCCATCCTCAGCACCATAAGAAAATAAATAAATAAAATAAAGGTATTACAACTAAAAAAATATATATCTTGAGGCCTACCTGTACTTGGTCAAACAAAAAATATGTCCTTCCAGAAAAGAAAGAGCCCTTGGAATTGGCTTTGCCCTATTCAGCGTAGATGTAGGAATTCATTGCAACATTGGCCCTTTTCTTTTGAACCAGATTTGCCTGTTCCATAATTCAGACCCGAGGGCTCGGGATGTAGCTCAGTGGGCCAGCACTTGCCTAGCATGGAGGAGCCTCTGGGTTAGATCCCCAGCACAAGAAAGGAAGAGGAGAAGAAGAGAAGGAGGGAGAGGGAGGGAAGGAAAGAGAGAGAAGGGAGGAGGAGGAAAGGGAGAGAGAAAGGAACAGGAAGGGGGAGAGAGAAAGGAAGAGAGGGAGAGGAAGAGAAAGAAAGAAAAGAAGAGAAGGAAGGAAGAGAGAGAGGAGGCAAGGGAAGGAGAGGGGAGGGGAGGACAGAACAGAGAGGAGGGAAAGAGAAGGTTTATGTCTGTTTGTTGGAGTCAGGAGGGGGTATCCAGAAAAGAAAAAACAGCTCTTGGAGTTTAGACACACCCTCCCCCAAATCCAGGGCACAGCAAGCAGAGCAGTTGCCAAAAATCTCAGGCACAGCTGCCTCTTGGCACGCAGACCTGCAGAGGTGGGGGGCCAAGGGCCTGTGGAAATGGTCTGGGAGGAGGAACGCTGAGTTAGCCCTCCTGCCAGAGGCAGGCACAGGGTGTACCAAACGCAGCCTGCTCCTTCACTCTAGGCACAAATGGATTGTGATCCTGTGCAGACTGAAGCTTACCCAGTTGGATTGTCAGGGCTGGGGAGTCCTTTCTACAGGCTCTGACTCTTGTCTATACAAGTATAGACGCTTACGCTTCAGAAAGGGCTATCTGTAAAGAAGAAAATAAAAGAGGGTGAGGGGATAGAGCAGAAAGGAAAGGCTCTTCTACACTGAGTGGCAGGGGGAGGGGGTCAGGGAAGACCTTGTGAGCTGACTTTTTGGTCTGTTTGTTTGTAGTATTGAACCTAGGACCTCATGCATACTAGTCACACTTTCCACCCCCGATCTATACTCCCAGCCTATGAACAGACTTTTGAGCTGCAAAACAAATAAGAAGGAATCGGCTATGGGGCTATTTGTGTGAAGAACATTCTGGGCAGAAAGGAACAGTATGTGCAAAGGCTCTGAGGTTGAACCAACCCTGTGGTTAGAGGTTAGAACTTTCAATCCCCCCACACCCTAGAGGGACTAAAGGTTGGGTTGGGCACCAACAGCCAATAATGTAATCAATCATGCCTATGTAATGAATCCGCTATAAAACCCCAAAAGGACAGGATCCAGAGAGTTTCTGGGTTGGTAAACAAGAACAAATCCCTGGGCACTGGAATTCCTGCACTCAGAACCCTTCTGAACCTTGCCCTTTGTATCTCCAGGTAGACAGTGTAGGACACCTATAGCTAGTGTCTGCTGGGGAATCGCTTGGCATATGAGGGGTTAATTTTTGCTAAGAATTCCCAACACATCCCCCCACTATTATTCTCTCCTCTGAGATAGGTTTACTGGGATCCCCATAACCAGTTCCTCAGGTTTATCATGGTCTTTGTTTGTCTCACTCCCCCCCCCCTTTTTTTTTTTTTTTTGTACCAGGGATTGAACCCAGAGGTGGTTAACTGCTGAGCCACATCCTTTTTTTATATTTTATTTCAAGACAAGTTCTCCCTAAATTCCTTAGGGCCTCGCTAAGTTGCTGAGGCTGGCATTGAACTCGTGATCCCCTGTACCCAGCTGTTTCCCTCCCTTTCTACAGATTATTGATACACTCTCAATCTCTTTCTCTCCCTCTTTCCCCCTGAACTGCAGGCAAACATTTTGCTGCCTTGCCTCCCAAAAATCACTCTGGGCAGGCCAAAAGTCCATTGTTTAGGCTCCAACTCAGTCATCTCCACCAAATCTTCAAATCTTCTCAAATCTTCTCACTCTCACTCTCACTCTCAAATCCCAAACAGGGAAGGGCACTGGGGCTACCATGTTGATTGGTGTCTTGCCTTAAGCTCCAAGGTGCACCTTGGTGTAGTTGCGCACACCTGTAATTCTAGCAGCTCCAGAGCCTGAGACAGGAGGATGAAGAGTTCAAAGCCAGCCTCAGCAATGGCAAGACGATAAGCAACTCAGTAAGACCCTGTCTCTAAATAAATAAAAATACAATATAGGGCTGGGGATGTGGCTCAGTGGCCAAGTGCCTCTGGATTCAATCCCCAATACCAAAAAAATAAAATAAAATAAAATAAAAATAAACCACAAAAAACTCCAGGGTGCTATAAAGTATGTCCTGGCCTTGTCCATGGAGCTCTTGGTCCTCCTGGGGTGGGAAGAGGAGGCTAGTGGGGTTGTCATGGCACATATTCCTCTAGACAGTGGACACTGGTGACGCTCATCCTGCTCCTGCTGCCCTACATCCTCCACCCTCTTCCTTGGCTTGAAGATCCTCTGACCACTTCATGTTTCCTTTCTGAAAAGTTCCTTTCCCCCTCCATGGAGCAAACTCGCTCATCAGACCTCCTCAGCAACCTTCCTCCTTTCTTCAGTTCCCTTCTGGTGACACATTCTTCCCACTGGAGGTTGTAGGAACTCAAAGATTCCCAGGGAGAACAGCGTAGTGGCATCCATCTGAAATCCCAGCTATTTGGAGTCTGAGGCAGGAGGATTGCAAATTTGAGGCCATCCTTGGCTACCTAGTGAGATTCTGTCTCAAAGTAAAAAATAAAAAGAGCTGGGCATGTAGCTCAGGGGTAAAGCACCCCTGGGTTCAATCCCTAGTAACAACACATATACACACACACACACACACACAACACACACACACGGGAGGGGATGGGGGGATGAGTAGGAACTCTGGCACCTTTATCTCCATGATAATAACAGTGCACTGTGAGGCCCTGCCCCCAACCAACTGAAAAATTAAGCAATGGAAGCTATCTTTGGGGAGTTGTAACAGTGACCGTTGTGATAAGCCTTAAGTGGAAGGAGACCAAAGATAGTTTCAGCTTTATTGTTTATAACTGACATATCAAATTAGATATACTTAAGGTATACAGTGGGAGCTAGGCGGTAGCTCAGTGGTAGAGTACTTGCCTAGCACGTTCTCCACAGGCAAAAATATATTAACAAATAAAGCTAATTATTAACTTTTATTTTTCCCCCTGTGGTGCTGGTGATAGAACCCAGAACTTTAAACATGCTCCAAGTAAGTGCTCTACCGCTAAGCCACATCCTCAGCCTTTCTTTCTTTATTTATTTCCTTCTTTTTCTCCTGGTATTAGGGATTGAACCTGGGGCACAATCCGAGCTATATCACCAGTTCCCCCCTCTTTTTTTTCTTTATCTTGTTTATTCATTTTTATGTGGTGCTGAGGATCGAACTCAGTGCCTTACATGTGTGAAGCAAGCACTCTGCCCCTGAGCCACAACCCCAGCCCCAGCCCCAGCCCTTTTTTAATTTTTAATTTGAGACAGGATCTTGCTAAATTGCTGACAGTGGCCTCCAAGTTGTGATACTCCTACCTTAGATTCCTCAGTTGCTGGATTGCAGCTGTGCACCACTGAACCCTGTGCGGGAAGGCTATTAAAGAAGAGCAAGGGGGCCAGGCACAGTAGAGCACATCTGTAATCCCAGTGACTCAGGAGGCTGAGGCAGGAGGATCACAAGTCTGAGGCAGCTGCAGCAATTTAGCAAGACCCTGTCTCAAAATAAAAATTTAAAAAAGGGCTGGGGATGTAGCTCAGTGGTAAAGTGAAGAAGAGAAGGCAGGTAAGGGAGGAAAATCGGGCTCGATTTGATCAAAGTATATTTTTTGCATGTATGACTGTGCCACAGTGAAACCCCCTATTCTCTATCATTAAAATGCACTAATCAAAAAATCATGATGTACAAAATATTTTTTAAAAATCTGTGGAATTACAAAAGCTAGGATCACTCAGACAGATGCAAGCAATGTGTCTGGGACCCCCAGGAAGACAGCATTTTAAGTAGATAAAGAAAACCTCATTAAGTGGTCAGTAGAAAGCATGTCTTGGTGGGTGGGGGCAGTCAGCTGACAAAGCCAGAAGGTGGCAGTGTCTACTCAGAGAGGGCAGGGCCCTGGCTGGGCCACATCTTTCACCCTTCCACAACCAGAGCTGCCCAAGTAGAAAGCCCTACATTGCCCCTGGGCAAGATTCAGGCCTGTCAGGCCTTCCCTCCAGGCCTGGTCCTCACGTTGGTCGGCTATGATGTCACACCAGGAAGGGACAAAGTATTAAAGGACAGCTGCCTAGGCTTAGCCCAGTTGCATGGCTGAGTGGCCCTAGACTTTATTTCTTTATTTTATTTTATTTTATTTTGGGGGGCACTCAGCCACTGAGCCACATCCCCAACCCTATTTTTTAAATTTTATTTAGAGACAGGGTCTCAACAGGTGCTGCTAAGCACCTCCTGTTGCTGAGGCTGGCTTTGAACTGTCAGTTCTCCTGTCTCAGCCTCCTGGGTTGCTAGGATTTCAGACGTGAGCCACAGCCCCCAGATAAACTTTAATAAGATCTCCTCCCATGACAATCCCAGCAGCAGTGGGGACCTCAGGATCCTCCCCACCGCTTCCAGGTGCCACTGGACTGAGTTGTGGCCCAAAATCACAGCCCCTTCCTCCCACTCCCTGGTGGGTCCATCTCTTGGGCCGGTGCTAGACTCAGTCAACCTCTTTTCTTTACCTCCTCCTCACATGAGATGAGGTTTTGCTGAAAGATTTGGCAGTAGACAGCTATACCTAACAGGAAGACAAGCCATTTCCAATGGAGTGTTATACAACCTGACCTTAAAAGTTCTAGGGCATCAAAAATCCCAACAGTATTTTGGACAAAAAAAAAGAAAAATCCATTGTAAAAAATCACATGGAACGTCTGTCATAGGACCACACACAGCCTTGAGATGCCAGATGAATTTTATTCATATGCATAGCCAAAATAATCTTGGGAAAGAAGAAAATGATTGAAGGACTTCCACTTCCTTGAAGTCCTCAAAGCTTACTACAAAGTGATAGTAATTAAAACAGCATGGGATCAGCACAAACACAGACACAAGAGAACAATGGAATAGAATAGAGAGCTCAAAAATAGGTCCTTACACATTTGGTTAAGCCATTTTGGCAAGGTTACAAAAAACATCCAATGATGTGTTAGTAAAATGGAATACCCACATGCAAAAGAATGAAGATGGGCCGAACAC